TGAATACTTTTTATAGATTTTCTATCTTTTCTCATTTTTTTGTCTTTTTTAATTTTTTTATTTAATTATAAAATCATGGTTGATACATTTGACCTAGAAGGATGAATTGTGGACTCACCACCAAGAAAACAATTTCATTTTTGGGTTGRTTTTAACTTTTATATATATTTTATTTCCAACATCAATAAAACAATTATTATTTATCACACTTGTTGTCCAATGAAAATTCCAGAAGCTAGCTTTTACCTCCAGGTGCAGGTCACTGATTAGACATGAGTAGACCTGTTCATGGGTTGGGTGGCCTGACGGGTCGGCCCGGCCCCCGGACGGGCTTGAACACGCAAAAGAGCCCGCAGGCCAAAAAGCCCAGCCCGAGCCCGGCCCGGCCCGACCTATAGATTAAAGTTAAAAAACCCTAATCGAACCCCTCTTCTCTTTCACCTCTTTCCAGCCGGACCTCTCTTCTCTTCAGTCTTCACATCCTCCTCAGTCCTCAGTCCTCACACTCTCAGGCAGCCACACAACCGGCGAGGCGGCGAACATTCACCGTTCCTCTTCTCACTTTCTCTCTCTTTCTTTTTCTCTCTCTCTCTCTCTCTCTTTCTCTCTCTCTCCCTCTCTCTCTCTTTCTCAGACGCGAACTGATCACTATTGAAGTCGCAGATTACAAATCTCAGACACCGCGAGCTCAGCTTACAGTCACCGATGGCGGCGTTGAGTTCTCTCTCTCTCTCTCTCTCTCTCTTAGACGCGAACTGATCATTATTGAAATTGCAACTTATAGTCATCACGAACTCGGGCTTCGAGCTCGGGATCGGGCCTAACAAAATTCCATTCATGAAGAGTAAAAGCTCGACCCGACCTATGAACAGGTCTAAACATGAGCAAAGCATATATTTCCATCCCTATAGTGTGGATTCCTTGGCTTTCTTTTGATATTGTCCACTATAAATGTTTCTTACAATTTTTCTAATTGTTGGTAGACTTGTTTAGCTAGTATGTTAACTCTCACGGTGTAGATGGATATGGACAATTTCCTTGATCATYGTGGTTCTTTCTTCACTCCACTAATTCTTCATTTAACATGTTTAGATCACCAATGACATCGGAAAGCCCATGGAGATTTTGAACATGGTTTTTAAAAACAAACCGGTGATCGAACTGGTCAAGGGTCCGGTTACCGGTTTAAACGGTCCGACCGTTCAACCCAAACAGCTGGCCTGTTCTGACAAAAAATAAGAATTTTAAAAAATTGGGAACGATCAAAACCGTTCGAATGGTTAATCAGCCAGTTCAGCGGTTTGYTGACCAAAATCAACGATTTTGGAGGAAAACGGAACTGATTAGGTGACCGATTCCCGGTTTTTCCGGTCCGGTCTGGTTTTGAAAACAGTGATTTTGAATAAACAGGCCCTCCATTGATTACTGCAACATCTCAAATTCAAGGTGAGGCCACCACACATACTAGTCTAGATGCAGAGGTTCGAGCATAGTTCTTCACTCGTACCAGTCCCACATTTTAGATGGCAAACACCGGTGTTAGGGGTTGAAGATAAGGGTACTATTGTCATTTTTTTAAAACATAACCATTGCGTAGTGTGGCATGTGACCGGATTACAAGAATTGTAATAGAACCCTAACAGTAAAGAAACAATTAGTCAATTGTTAGAAAACTTAAGGATACTTTAAGACAATTAGTCAATTAACTAAACCATAAGGATAATTTAATAAATTTACCCTTCTCTTTTTTCATATTATATACACCAAATTAGTGGCCAATATTGAAAATTTCCTGCACTACCCCCACAACTTCATGATGCTCCAATACTTTTATAAAAAAAAATGGAGCGACTCCACCAAGACTTTGGAGCTGTGTAAGCCTTCATTTTGTTAATAATCTCTTGTAATTCCTCCATTGGTGGCATAAGCAACTCCTTATCTTCCTCCTTTAAAGTGGGTAACTTTAATATTTCCAAGCCATAATCTTGTTCTACCTCTTCCTATCCTCCTATTTGTTGAGCATGTTCCTTAAAGCTTCTCTAAATCTTCTATTTTTAACTCCTCCCCGTGCATATATATCCCAAGGTGAAATCCATATCATTTTGCTGCAATGTGAGATGTATCTGTTCCTCTACTTTTTTTTTCTTTTTTTAATTTCACCAATGGTTCCAAAGGAGTGTTTGTACCACTCTCTCAACATCTCTTTTGCATTTTCAATTTTCTTATTATTTTAAATTAGGGCTGTTCATAAATAAATTCAAACCAACCAAACCGGTCAACCCGGTTCGACCCAACCCAATTGGGCTGGTTTTTCTTCACCACTAGTCGTTTCGGGTTGTAACGATGGGTAAACTGATAATTTGGTTCGGTTTCAGCTTTCACACATGCAAACCGAACCGAGTTATTTATAAATATCTTCTCACTGAAATATTATATATAATATGTAGATTTTCAAAATATATATTTCAGTTTTAAATGTATTTCTAATAAATATATTCTCACTGAAATATTATATATAATATGTATATTTCCAATATATATATATATATATATATATATATTTCTAATATATATTTAAACCAAAACTGACCTAAACCGACAAAGTCAGTTTTGCTTAATAGAGGGTCAGTTTCGGTTTAATCTTTAGGTAACCCGAGCAGGGTTGGGTCGGTTGAAAAAAAAAAACTAGTAAACCGACCCAACCCGACCCGTGAACAACCCTATTTTAAACAGAGTTGAACCCTACCGTTCCTTTTCCCAAACTTCATGAATCAGATTTCCACTGATCTAGATCACATAGGTAGGAAGTGAATCCTTTTGTTAGAGGTGTAAGTCAGGCCATGCTGCCCTTGGCTTGGCACCAGACCTATTCATGGGCCAGGTTTGGGCCGGGCTTTCAGTTTGTACTAATAGATTTTTCTAAGGCCCGAGCCCGAGCCTGGCCCGACCATCGGGCCTACAACTTGGGCCCGAGCCCGACCCTCATAAAAAGCCCGAAGCCTGAGCCCGAAATTTAGCCCATATTGTTAGCGGCTGAATAGAGAGAGAGATATTATAAAGAAAAGAATAAAAAATGTATATATTAAATTATAAATATATATTTTAATAAATATTATATTATTTATATATTTTATATAATATATAAAATACATATTATATATTTTATAAAATATATAATGCTGAGTCGGGTTGGGCTGGGCTTTTTTGACAAATCCCGAGCCCGGCCCGAAACACAGTCGGGCTTACTGTGTTAGGCCCGAGATCAGGCCTGCGGGCCTAATTACATGACCAAGCCCGACCAGGGTGTGGGCTGGGCCGGGCCATCGGGCTACCCGGCCCATGAACAGGTCTACTTGGCACGATGGTTTACGGGCTATGTCGGGCTTGGGGTTTCAAGTCTGTAGGCTGGGCCAACACGACACGATTGAGTAGGTTGTGTCACCCGCAGCCCACGTGTCGACAAGACCTAGCCTGCAGCCCAGCTTGGCCTAGAATGACCTATATATATATTTTTTATATATTTATAAATAATATATTTATATTTATATATTAATAATATATAATATATTATATAAATTATAATTATATAATAATATATAGTATATAATATATTAATAAATTGAACAATTGTTTTCAATTTTATTATACTATTTTGTTTAATTATTATATATAAACAATTGTATACATCAAAATTCGTATAAAATAAAAATTTTAAGATTTTTTTTCAATTTTTTAAATAAATAACTTTGGCTTGGTCCATGGCCTGACTTGGCCTAAGGCTCGCCTAATAGACTAGCCTAGCCTGTGGCACGACACCTGGCCTAAGGCTCGGGTTGGGGTAGGGTTGTTCGAGAGGTCAATCCTAACCCAACCCGAAGAGAAATTGAGTTGATGAAAATCAACCCCAACTTTAACCCTAACTCAATCATCAGTGGTCAACCCCACCCTTTTGGGTTGGGTTAGGCATGGATTTGGGTTAACACAACCCAATTTGCAGCCATAGGCCCATAGCAGTTGGGAATTCATATATGGGCACCCCACAGCACATCGCAATCGTCTATTGGGAACATCTTCCAATGACAAGTATGGAAAATGTTCCCAATTGACTAGGGATGTCAATGGGTCGGGTTTGGCACAGGTTTGCCTTAACCCTAACCCGACCCTCCAGCACCACAACCCGAAACCAACCCAACGTAGCTTAAAAATACATGATTCCCAAACCCGACCCGACCCTATAGGGTTTAATCCAGTTCCAGCCCAACTTGACCTGTATAGTTTTAAATGTATTTTTTAACACATTTTGAAGACCTAAAATACATTAATTTAAGCAAGGAAATTGTTTTATAGATTCTAAGGTGTTATTTTTCCATTTAAAAAAACAAGAAAATCAAAATCAACATATAGATAAATTATAGGGGTTTTTATAGTTCAATCCACCCCTAGGGTGGAGCTAAGATTTCTAGGAGTGGACTAAATCTTGCTCGTGGATTGATGCCAAGGATGCGGTTTAGGGGGGGGGCTAATAATAGACTAGGAGGGGGCTGTAATTTAGATTTTGAGGTGGATTGTAGTCCACTTATCCCTAAATTATAAACTTTAAGCCAAAGTTAAAAATAAAAAAATTGTAAAAATACTTGGTATATATGCAGGGTATCATGACCTAACGGGGTGGCTCAGCCAAAACCTGAATCCAACTGRAACCCGACTTAGGTCAAAAAATCAAAACCCTAACCCAACCCTAAACCAAATATACTTGACCTAATTCGACCCTATAACCCGATTAGGGCCGGATGAAGCCGGGTTTACCATTTAACCCGACCCATTCACATCCCTACAATTGACGCTGAGATGTGCCTATGGCTGATGTGATCTCAGCAGTCGATGCCTCTAAAGATGGAATTTTTAGTTGAAGATGTGGGGCAATATGGTAATACGGTTGAAAATTCGGAGTTCCATTTGCAACATCCGTTTCAACTTTCAAATAGTGTCGAAATGAAGCAAGATTCCAAACTCCTAGCCCCGAGCAAACCAGAACTCAGAAGACGATAAATTGTTTTTTTAATTCTCCGTTTGGTGCAGTCTCGTCTCGTTCCACTTCCTCCCGTGTTATAAATTAAAGAAATTTCAAAAAAAAAAAAAAAAAAATTCAGGAGAGGAGATCGGAGACAAGGGAGAAGAGAGATTCTTTGGATCTAGATCTCCTTGACACTCTCTCAGCCCTAATTTCTTTGTCTTCCTCTCTCTGTAATGCCATGGCGAATCATCGATCCGTTGCGTTTCACTTCTGGATCTATTCTCTCCTTCTGCTCTTTGTCCAAGGAAATTGCTTCTACCTCCCTGGTGTTGCTCCAGAGGATTTCGAGAAGGTCAGTTTTCAGTTGATTAGATTCGTATGCTTCTCTTCCTGAATTAAGTTGACTGTATTTTTCTTTGATCTTTATTTTTTCCGTTTCCGGTTTTGTTCCTGGATCCGTGTTTTCTTGCCCTAGATCTATGTTGGGTTTATGGAGAATTTGATTTCTTATTCTTGTTATTCATGTAAGAGATGCTATACTACCGTTTGGAATTGGCGCTTCATAGCTTAGTTCACTGCGGTTGTTGTGTTTTTCGATGAATGTCGTGAAAGTTTTTTGATATTTATTGACTTGTTTTGAGTTCGAGATTATTGGGATGGCTTTACATTTTCGGTGTGTAATGGAGAGTAAGCTCGGGAAGCTTCTATAGAATTGACTATTTTCTAGCTTGTGAGGGATAATTTTGTTTTTTTGATAAATACTTGTGAGGGATAATTGCTGATTTGCATTCGTGCACTTCGTACGAGTGGGTAGATCTGCACTACATGAACCATTTGAGACTTTTCTCTAGAACTCATTGAACCTATGTTAGTTGAATCTCTTTCTCTCTCTCTCTCTCTCTCTTAACACGTGAAACTTAATTTTAGTGAAGTGAAAGTGTATGGCGATAATTGACCTAGACAAGGTTAGCAACTCGGGCAGAGGTGGTCGTGCTTCAAGTGTACAGGACGACCATTTGAATACTTGATGAGTTTCCACCAACATTTGATCTTTTGCAATGTCATTACTGAAGAGAGCAAGGAAATTTAATAATGAATCTTTCTTCTTAGGGTCACTCTATTAATGTGATGTTGTAGTGAGTCCAATTACAGTCTACATCATCAATGCTTCTATGTTGTATTTGTGGTTGGTCTGGCTGCCTGGATGATCAGATAAGAATTACCTCATTGTTTATGACACAATACTTTTCAGATTGATTTCTGAAATAACCATTATTGTATGATAATCCTGGTGAGCTTTTTTAAATTTTTATGTTGTTAGGCTCTTCAATGTTGAATTGGGAGATTGGGCCAAGCCAAATTCCAGTCTAAAGTACTAACTCCTTTCACCAGTTGAGATTCCAAAAACTGATATGATGGTGTGCTCACAAACTGGAATTATCTAGTCATCAGAAGGATGGCGATTAGCTTATGCTAATGTTCATGATCTGGGTCATTTGACAATTCAGATCAGAGAAAATGACAATGCCCTTCTATTTAAGTCTCCCAACATTCTGGGATTGATTTTAGTCAATGTTCATTCAAGCCTTCAGTTTTTTGGCTTTCGTAATTACATCAATGTGGAAGAAGCTAGTCCGCATTTAATGCCTATGAAACAATGCTAAAGAAATTTGAGATCACCATAAGTGGCTGTAAACTTTGCATCTTGTTCACCTTCTCCCTTGTTTAAAATTTACACTGGGATATCACATCATTTACATCTCCATGTTGTGTAAAATTTGAATCCTAAGAAGTGATGCAGAATTTTAATTCCTTTGCTCCATTCTCTCCCATATAGTGTTGGGACTACTGACCTATTATCTTGCTTCCTTCCAAACAAACACAGAAACTAAATTTTGAACTAAAGTGAACAAAGATTTTACACACATTTACCTCTTAAATATTTCACCTAGTGCAAGTGAAATTTGTGGTTAAAACAAACACAAACTAATTTAAAGGTTGAATCATATGACATACCCATTTTCTATATCTGTTTATAGATTAGCTAGCTTTGACCTTGGAGTTAACTTAAATGTAAAGTAACTATTTCCTACCACATATTCAATGCTAGTTAAGGGTAATGCCTAACGTTGGTCTTGGTAATCAGGGATTTTGGGAGTTGCCAAGTTGGGAGGGGTGGACCTTTGGTGTTTCTTTGCACAAAGTTGACCATCCTCCAAATTGATGTCACGYCCTCATACTTGTTAGTCCAAGTATCATTGCATCAAGCAAGGATCCTCATTCAATATAAGTTAAGGGTGCATTTATTTATTCATTTTTTTTGTTTGTTTTGTATGATATCCAATTAAAACAATATCACTAGTATAATGGTATTGCTTTAATTGATGAAACCAATGATTTAAAAGGCGTGCCTAGGCACAGGCGAGGCGCATTTTAGGGTAGGCGCCTCGCCTAGGTCCTAGGTGCAGTACTTTCAAAAGGCGCACGCCTGGTGTGCCTAGGCATGTGCTTGATGCTCCTTGTGCCATAGCCCAGGCATGCACCTTTTGAAAAATTTTCGCTTTTTTGCTTTTTTTGAACCTAGCGGTTGGGCTGGGGGAGGAGCCCCCGGACCCCTGATTGCGCCCCTTGAGGAAAGCCCAAACAAGTCCATGTTAGGGTCTTAAATTCTTAATTTCCACACAAAAAATAATGGTTTTATAATTTTAATTGCCTTTTAAGAAGATATTTTATTAAGATGAATGAATGGACAACATTAGCTAATAGGGGGTTCTACTCCGCTCCAATTCGCTCACTTCACTTGCTCACCGAAGCTTTGAGAACCCTCTATTTGCTAATGTTGTTCATTCATTAATCTTAATAAAATATCTTCTTAAAAGGCAATTAAAATTATAAAACCATTATCTTTTGTGTGAAAATTAAGAATTTAAGAATCTAACATGGATTTGTTTGGGCTTGCCTCAAGGGGCATGGCACAAAGGCGGCTTGTAGAATCAGGAATGTAATATGTTTTACATCACATTAGTTACTTGAATTAATGCAATTGAGGAAGAAAAGAGATTGTGGGTTTTACATGCTTGAAAATGTTTTATGTGTTTTATTCTATTTTTAAAGTTTCATTTGAATACACTTTACATGTTATGTTTATGCATTTTAATTTTAGAGAATAGGTTTTTTAAAACATTTACTTTAAAATTTAAGTTTATATTTTTTATTAATATTATGTTTAATATTTTTTTTTTTATTTTTTTGAATTTTTTGAATTTTTTTTATTTTTAGCATTTTTTTTGTATTTTTGTGCCTTGCTTCAAAAAGGCGCATGCCTTGCATTGCACCTTGCGCTTTTAAAACATTGGATGAAACTAATGAAGGATTAAGTGCAAAATTAAGCTTATGGACAAAATGCCTTACAAACAAGTGGTTTCAAAGTTGGGCTAAAAAAGAATATGTCATGTACATTTAATAGTAATGGGAGTGCAAAATAGGGTACTTAGGATTGGATAACCAAGAGATTACTCAATTTGACCATTGTTGGTACCTTGGTTCAATAATTCATAACAAGGAAGAGATTGAGGAGGTATTGCCCCTAGAAATTAGAATTATAGTAGGATGTGCAAAGTTGAGGGGTGTATCTGGAATTTTATGTGATAGGTAGGGGTGCAACTTGGGTGGGTTGGGTCAGGTTTAAGGTCAACCTAGGCCTAACCCTAAAGGTGCAGACCTTGGGCTTGGGTTTGGTCCAACCCGAGGTTAAGCCCGAGTTTATTAACATAAGCCCAATTTGAGCTTAATCCAACACAACTTGGGTTGGGCAGGGCTCAGGCTCGAGTTGGTCTGGGCCATGTTAGGTGGGCTTGGGCGGGTTTGAAAGAATTTATGTATATATTTTTATGGAGTCATCTTTTATTGGGCTTTATGGCCCAATTTAAGAGTAGAATTATATTTGTTAGTGGTGTTAGTGAAGGGGTATTTCGGTCTTTGTACCTGTTGAGAATGCTGATGTGTACTGTTATGTTAGTTTGAGTGCCTCTTACTTAAATAAGGGCACTTAAGTCTTTTTTAAATTAATAATATAATAATAGGTCTGGCCGAAACTAGGGGTGACTTTTCTCTAATTCGAACCAGACCTTTTCTCTCCTCCTTCCTCTTTCTTCCTTCTTCTTTCCTCTCCTACTTCTTACTGTTTACTTTACTTTTCAGTCAAAAAACAAAACAGAACTCTAGGGCAGGTCGAACTTCAACATGGTATCAGAGCAACATTAAACAAATCAGACTTGCTAGAATTCTGTTTTCTGCGCATTCGAACTAGGGTTTCTCTTGGGTTTCTCAGCTGTGAGTTGGAGACTGGGAAAAGGGCTGAAAAGGAGTGATCRCCCTCTTCCCTTGGAGGTTCCTATGCCTCCGGTTGTGTTGTTGGTGATTGGTTGTTGTGGTTTCTAAGCCCTAATTAGGGCTGGTACGTGTGGTGCAGTGGTGTTTCATTCCTTCGTGTGGTTGGCCTTCAGGCGATGAGGTAAAGGTTCATTTTTTATGCATATTTTCTGTTATGGAATACATGAGAGGTGTGGTACAGTTCGTATGATGGGTTTTCAGATTGCAGTATGCTAGGGTTTATTCTGGTTTGTGTGTGATTCGAAGGGTAGTAGTGTCTACTTAATGGTGAAACTTCCGGTAGCTGTGGATTAGGATTTGTGGTGTTACAAGTGCGGTTTTCAGCATTTATCATTGCTGAAATCAGTGTGCAGATTTCAGTGAGTAGGGTTTGTGGTGTTACAAGTGCGGTTTTCAGCATTTATTATTGCTGAAATCAGTGTGCA